ATGTGTGTGAAAATATTATGATAAAACAATAGAAATATACAAAAATGTTGATTATTACTCAGTATTATACAGAAATATAAGCAATACTCCTTAAGTGAGCGGGGCTACCCGACTCCCTCCTATATATATATATATATATATATCATTCATTTTGTTAGGTTATCTTAAGTAACAATTCAAGTAGTGTTAGAATACGTTAAGTATTTATTTAGATTGTTAGGTTGTCCTAAGTCATAATTTAAGTATTGTTGAATAGTTAGTTATACGTTAAGTGTTAAGTAAATATTTAGAGTAATTTCATATTTTTATCGAAATCAAAACTTAGTTACTAAGTAAACATTTAGATTTATTTCAAATGCTTTCTAAAATGACTGTCGGGGTTTCAATATAAACGGTGCTATGGTGCCGCATAGCTTGACGGAGCTTGCCTTTTTCGAGCATTTACATGACATATACATGAGCCGTGGGAGCTTATGGGATAGGGCGTTCGCATCCCAATGATGCGTCCCGGGTTCGAAGTCCAGCGATGACTGGTCAATACGAATTCCGCAACCGGTTCTCTCCAACCACAGTGCTAACGTGAAATATCATCAGTGGTAGACGGATCATGGAGTCCTCTTGCCAGGCTGTTTTTGTGGTTTTCCTCTCTATGTAACGCAAACACTGGTTAGTACCATCCAAAAACACTCCATGAAGGCGAATTTCGCCTGATACTTGATCCAGTTCCCTTGTCTTCTAGATTGGGTTCAAAAGTACAAGGCTACGGAATTGTGCATTAGTAAACTAAAAATAGGGTCGGCTGTTCAACGACGATTTTAAAATAAAATACAACAGTGTATACTTACATGTATTATGCGATACTCAAACTATGGTTCGAGAAGTTCATGAAGAAGAAGAACAACGCGTAATAGAACATTGGAATGATTTTTAACTCAATTCACGGCAGAAATGGAAACAATTTTACTACTTCTGCTGTTATATACCGCACTCATATTTACGATAGTTTGTGTGATTCAATGGCTGCCGGGCAGATTTTAAATTAATAATAAAAACTCAATAAAGAACTTTGACAATATCGCTGACATCTCTTAAAAATAATTAAAATTTAAATCACATTCCTTCGCGAGGGCAACAGCTAGACGGTAAAATAATTCGGTTAATATATTGTTTAAAACTAATTAAGGTGTTTGGAGTGGAGGAAGGGTTGAAAAATTAGAATATTTAAATATAGCTGTGCTGTGCATTCGGCTTGGTTAGCATTAAAGTTTATAAGTTATACAAGATAATTTAAAGAGGTGACCCTGAGGGTTGCCAATGGTGGCTAGATAGAAACGTCGTCACTTTTTTTTATAAATTAAGGAAATCAAAAATTCAAATATGTCTTACGGGTGCATTGTGTTCTTTCTAAATTGCGCCCATATCCAGGTCGGCATAAGCATGAACTCACACCCCGTTCTGTTCTACATTGCTCCTTCAACTGCACATCGCACGTGGTATCATCGCCGACCACACATGTGTCGATTCTAAAGGGAAAAAAAATTTAAATTAGAATAGCAATACGTCAAAATGATGACAAAAGTACAACAGAAAATACTGAACACTGGGATACAGATATAAAACACAACAGAAAATATTGAGCACCGAGATACTGATAATAAATACAACAGAAAATACAGAACACTGAGATAGTGAAGAAAAATACAACCGAAAATATTGAACACTAAGATACAGATAAAAAAATACAACAGAAAATATTGACACTGAGATAGTGAAAAAAATACAAAAGAAAATACTGAATACTTAGATACTGATTAAAAAAAATTCAACAGAAAATAATGAAAAAAAGTACAGCAGAAAATGTTGAACGCTGAGATAGTGGTAAAAAATACAATCGAAAATACTGAATACTTAGATACTGAAAAAAATACTACAGAAAAAAAAGAAGAAAAAAAGCAGAAATACTGAGGTACTGATAAGAAGTAGAATAGAAAATACTAAGTTCTGAGATAGTGATAAAAATACAACAGAAAATACTGAACACTTAGATACTGACAAAAAAAAATACAACTAAAAGAACCAAACGCTGAAATACTGATAAAAAATATAACAGAAAATACTGAATACTGGTATAATAATAAAAAATACAACAGAAAATATTGATAAAAAGTGCAACAGAAAATATTGAATACTGACTTAAAAAAAACAATACAACAGTAACTATTGATAAACGGATAAAAAAAAATACTAGAACTTTGGTTCATCAATAATCTTATTAATAGAGCCAGAATATTATTGACTTAAAAAATATTTCAAAATAAATTTAATTAATTTAATAAAATGTGTTCTTAAATTAAAGAAAAAACATTCCTTATATTTAGGAATCCAGGAATCGTATCCTCTCCAGGAATCGTTTAACTATAAAGTTAAACGATTCCAATCTGATACCTTATTTCGTTCCTAGATTTAGAAATATGCGTATAAGAGAAAATGAAATAGTACAATTTTCATTTAAAGTTTGAAATAAATGTTAAATGAGGGGGAAATAAAGGGTGGGGAAGGACTAGATTGCCAGAGATATTGCGAGTTAAAAGCCAAAAATATTTAACAACAAAATGTCTAAATTTTAAAAAAAAAGATCCAATACTAAAAGCTATCTTAAAATGTAAAACAATATTTTAAAAATGTGAAAAGCAAATAACTTGAAATGTAAATATGCTGCTCTAAAATAAGAAAAACATGCCGAAATTCTTTTTAAACGTACCCTAAATTAGAAAAAGTGTCCAAAATGTTCACAAAAAAAAAAGAAAAAAAAGTGACATACAATATAAAGGAAATGCAAAAAAAAATTTTTTTCAACTGTTCCATAGTTGATGAAAAAATAATAAAGCTGAAAAAACAAATTACCTAATATGGAAAAAGAGTCTAAAAAAGCAAAAAATGCCTTAAAGAGGAAAAGGAGTTCAAAAATGCTTAAAAGGCCTTATACTAGAGGAAAAAAAGTAGAAAAGTACAAAAAATGTCATTAGAAAAAGTACAAAAATGCAACAAAAAAAAATATTTTTATTAATTGCCTAAAATAGAAAAATAATCCAAAAATACAAATAAATGCCCTAAACGAAAGAAAAAATGCAACTATCTTCAAAATCCGGGTCTACATAATTAACAATCAATAAAGTTCTTAAATAGTCTGCCCCCACAAAACAAACTAAACTAACACTGCTCCTTCAATTTTTTTTTCTTCTCAATGTTACCTTTTTTTATGTCAGGTTGTGGAAGGTGAGGTTGATGGATTTTTTAAAACTTATACAGAAACACAATTAACAATATCGAACGGAAACACTATAATTATGCCCAATTAAGTCCTCCTGAAGCGTTAACAAAAGGGGGTCTTTTTTTTTATCAGCGTGAGAAAATTCACAGGTCGACAATTCTTGAAAAAAATAAAATGAGTAGTTACCGGTGATAATGGAAAAAAAATTAAGTGGGTCAGTGACAACTCTTTACTGCAAAAAGGTCGCCGTCATTAATTTTTTTAAAGTAAAACTCTATTGAGTTTTTATTTGAAACTCACCTCTCTGCATAAAAGTAAAATAATCTAAATCGTACTATAAAAGATGCTGATTTTGTAACTATTTTTAAGAAACTCGGAAATAAAAATGAGAATGAATTCGGTTGAAGTAGTTCAGTCTTGGGCAATGTTCGTAAACTCAATTTTAAGTAGGAAATTGTACTGATTTATCATTGTGCTTCAAAATTGAAAAAATTATTTACTAGATTTAGAAAAAAAAATCGACACAAAAGATGAAAACGATAAAAAAATTATAAAAAAACATAAAATGATAAAATAAATAGATCCAACAAAATTTAAAAAAAATATTGCAAATACGTGTATACTCTCTTAAAATGTTAGCTTTGCATTTAAAATTTATATTTTAAACTGTTTCATAGTTGAGATATAAAAAATAATAAAGCTAAAACAATAAATAGAATGGATAACATTTTTACTAGACGATATCAAAATCGAAAGGCTACATATTTTTGCGAAATAATAATTTCTTGCAGTATGAAATCTTTTTTTTTTGGGGGGGGGGCTTAATGTTTTTTGTTTTTACTTTAACAATACTCAAAAAATGAGGCCCACATGGGTCTATGTAGTATCTATGTGAAAAAGAATGTTTCACGCGGAACCACAATCCCCTCACCTCCAGCCCACATCTAACCCATATGGTAAATATGATGGAACTCTATGCTCAAATATTAAAAATTCTCATTGCTTTTACCTAAATAAACGTATATAAAACATGACAAAAAATAAAATTCTTCATTCTGGTTAAAAAAGCGATTCGAATTTCTTTTTATATGAATTTTAAAATGTGTTCGAAAGGGTGATTCTAAATTCGTCGTTACAAACTTGATAAATTTCAATCGAAGAGATTTTTTTATTTATTTTCAATTATGAAATGCTCTATATTACAGTAGCAAACTAATACAATGTATAGTAAATTTTGTGAACTACAGTTATTACTTTCTCCTATAATCATTTAAAACTGCATTTTCAAATGATTAATTATGATTTTAAGTTGAATTTGATTCTACCATAATACATCATACAAACTGACTTATTTAAAGAGTTTTGTGGAAGAAAGTTCTACTTTAAAGCCATTAGCTTTAGAAGATATTGCTGCAACAAAACACTTTTACCATTAAAAACCATCTTATTTAAAAACTTGTCACGGAATTAATCATATGTTTTAAAACCAGTAATGACAAACTTTAAAAATGCCAATTTGCATCTTTTACCATGATACCAATAGAATAATATAGAATAACATAGAATGACATTGAATAACATAGAAATACAAAAGAATTGTATAGAAATTGAAATTTTGAAAAATAGATACTTGCCTAATTTCTGGAAGCTGTGGTGGCTGTGGTCTAAATATCGGTGGTTTCCTCACAATTGTATTAGCTCCCGGTTTAGGAATTGGCAACGGTCTTAAACTATTACCATACTTAGGTAATGGCGGTGGTGGAAATTCCGGAGGCCTTGGTCTAGGGTACATGTTAGGCCTACTCGAGGGCCTTAGTTCTGATATGTCAACGGGATAGACTTGAGGTCTACCAGTCGGTGGTGGAAGAGGAGGAGGTGGAGGAGGCAAAGCCGACACACTCGGCCGTCCATAAATGACATCTACTTTCGTTGATATTATAGAAACAGAAATGTCAGTTGTCGATGTGACATCGGTGGGTGTAATCAGACTTGTAAATGTGGGTATGGCTTTCGTCTCAGATTGGTTATTGTACATCTGTCGCGTGACAGTAATTTCGAAACTGTCAGGCTCACGAGTTATTATGACTGGCTCCTCATGATCGATTTTGTGAGAACTTGTATAATTTGGTCCCCTTTCGGGGGGTTTCGGAATAGGCAACCATTCCGTAACAGGTCCTGATGGATGTTTATGAGTTGAAGAACTACCAGTTAAAGGAACATTCGTTGAAGGTAATATGATCGGCAATTCCGTGTAGTTTATGGTCGTTTTTGGTGAACTTTTATCGCTTGAACTATCACCTTTGCTTACAAAGGTTTCTATAAATGTATGTCCATTTTTATCGAGTTCAGTTAAGACTCCTGTTGGCATAATTTGAGTCCCGCTATGACTTAGAGAGTCAGTCTTTGAAGTGTCATATGAACTAATACTGGCTCCAATACTTGGCACTATCTCTACAATCTCCAATTCCCCAGAGGAAACGTTACCTCCATCACCTATAAAGGTAGATGAAGAGTTTAAGACTGGTGTCGCATCGCCAGCAGGACTTAGTGTGCTGTCTGTTTTATTAATAAGACCTAAAATCGCACTAACATCTGTAGCATCTGGGAAAAATATTTTATTGGTGGAAGAGCTACTGATATCTATCACAGATGAACTTGACACTGATGGTGATGATGGTCTGCTTGCATTTGTGGGATGGCGTTTGGGATATTGGTCGAAATGGGCCGGACCCCTATCATTAATTCTTGTCGGTCTTGGTGATGCAGGAAATATGACAGGTGGTAACTTTGTTTCTGGTCTCGTGACATGTACATCTCCTCCCAGCAAATGAATAATGCCACTAATTATGTCATCAATCGATTGATTACTAACGCCACCTTGTCTGGGTGTCCTCTCCTCCACCGCTTGCCGGTGGAAATCTGGTACATGTAGGTAAGAAAAACCTTTTCGGTACAGATCGTGGAGTGGTTCTCCCGGTCGGTTTTGGAATAAAACCATCTTTTTGGGATCTTGAGCTTCGTCAGATGATTGATACAGAAGACGACCTTCCCTTGACTCCTTCCTGATTTCACGAGGTTTTCTGCCTCTGTGTGGATCACTGTATTCTTTTGGTGGGATGCCTGAACCTAAAGCCATTAAAAAAAATTATTACTTTTTATGAAAGAAATATTATTTATTAGATTAATTCTGTAGTCATTTGATAGTTTAAAAGAAATTAAAATAGCACACTTTTTGTACTGATTTCATTACTTTAATTTTCGCTTACATTTTGTTTAAAATTTAATGGCACTTGACTGAAACGCCGGATGCAAAACACCATATTTATGAATATTTTTTTTATTAAACATGTTCTAATATGCCAACTCTAGAGATGCATTATACTATCCATCTGATATTATGTCCATGCCAAAGTATATTGTCCACAGGACAACAATAATCAATTTATTTTATTTGAAATGCCTAAAGAATGCATGAAAGCATTAAATCAATCTTTTTAAAACAGCAGTATTGTAGCGTAATTCATCCATAAGGACAAATAAATTAGAAGCTTTTAAAAAACTTGCTATTGACTGGAGTACAACTATTCAGCAGAGTCATAGGTGAAAAAATTATAATAACGTCTGAGAACAAAATCAACTTTAAAAACTTTAAAGAAATTATCTTACACTTATTAAAGAGTATAGCGTACTATCTTTACAAAACACTTTGTATTTAAAATTCGATTTCTCTCTCAGGAACTATTGAATCTATTTCGCTCCAACTTTGTATTTTGCCATGTGAATTTACGCTCTTTAAAATAATTTTAAAAAAATATATATCTTCCAATTCTAAATTTTTCCAACTTTTATTAAATAAAATAATAAAAAATAATAAATATTTACTAAAAGTTATTTTTTGCATATAATTATCTTCGGATAAACAAATTTTATAATTGTGTGCAAAAATATTTAAATTCGCTTGAAAAAAACTGAAGATAAGACAAGATACGCAAAGAATAAAATTAACATTAAAAAGTCCAAACTATTTCTATTCTGACCAAACTAATGGGACCATATTTCCCAGATTATGGCAACATATTTATGGCATCAGAAATCGAAAAGAAAGCAAAGAAAAAGTTTGTTCATATAGAGAAAGTTAGTTTATGCGCTGGATTTCGTAACATAAAATATCGTCTGCACTTATTAATTAGCATATTTGAGGTCCCCCTTGAAACCGGTAAGATTGAATCATAGAACTTGAATATCCAATCATTAAATCAAAAGTTATTCAGGGTAGTCCATTTTTTCCTTCGTTTTTTGCGCACTTTATAAGGGATACCATAAAATGTTCCGACTCAATCTAATATTTCCTCAATAAAATAACTAACGTAATATTTAGGAAAACATAACCTAATATTCATAAAATCGTTTATTTATTTTTTTCCATTTTGCAATAACACTATTATGAACTTCCAGTTCTTAACGCTACAGACGTACACATCTAAAAGAAACAATGTCAATTTTTTTTTCACATTTCCTAATGGTTTCTTCTCTTATTTTTTTTTATACATACAGAGAAATTACAGTCGAAGAAATAAGGAAAATCCCGCATCGTCACTTTCGACCGATGACCTATTTTTAAAGGAGGCTTTATGGAAAGTACCCGGATTTTCCTACAATCGGAAGTCATTCCAATTCTAATAGTCATTAAAGGCAAAACAACTGCCTAAATTAGAAAGTACTTATAGATCCGGATATTGGTATTAGACAATAATTTCTTTTTAAATATGAAACAATAAAGCTCATCGAATATTGGCGAGTATATGCAAATAAGGAAAGTTCTTTTGTGATTTTAGGTATTATTTTAATTAACGATGCAGGTCAAACAGAGTACCAGTTCTGAGGAAAGAAATGAAGGTTCCAGAACTTTAATTCAACTTTTTTTAATGAGTAAGAGGCTTTGCTCGCCAATCCTCGTAATAGATTTTCATTCAGCATTGTTTATTTCTTGTTAAACATCAATATTTTCCACAAAACGCAGAACATCTCGGTTTTAAAATAAATAATTATTGTATCTTTATATAACAACACTTTGTGTGTTAATCGTAACAAAATAAGCTATTACCTATATTTGAAAAAAAATTATCTGTACTAGTAAAAAATGACTCTCTTTCTCTTTTTGCTGCGTTTAATTGATATCTGCTTTATTTCTTATAAAATAAAAAATTAAGGACCTCATGAGGGAAAAAAAAATTCTACATATATTGGATTCAATATTTAAAGCAAAAAAGCTGAAAAAAATCACTAAAAAACACTTACATTGGCAATAACTTTCGAAAAAATAGGAATTTATAAAAAATCCATCGTTAAAATTATAATACAAAATGGTCCTATCAGAAAGTCAAATTTCAATTCTGTAGTTTGCATTTCAGTGGACAATAAATCGAGCGACAGTGTTTTTTCTTCTTCTTTTATTACATGTTTAACAGTTAATAATTCTCGAATTAACAACCGAAATGTATTTTTTTTATTTCATCAAACTTCTTATACGGTCATTTTTCTACACACCTGCTAATGAACTTTATGCTTAGATCCCAGATCAACGACCTTAAAAATTCTAATTTGTTTCCTAATTCCAATTAATTTACGAAATTCTAATTTGTTCGATAGTTATGGCAATTTCCAAGTGTTTTTTGTGTCTTTTTTCTCACTTTTTTTTGTTTGTTTAAATTGCATTTTACTTTGCTGTTCAAAATCTTTAAGACTTGGATACTTGAAATTACATAAACAAGTGAATTTACGTGCTAATTAATGAATGAAATTGCATAAACATTCTGTATGCCAAATTTAAAATTTGTATTTGCATAACTGCGGCTTGTAGAGCAGCTCGTACGGTATTTTTTCCAACAAGTTTAACAAATTCTCGAACAAATTATCGAATGTTAAAGTTTTTTTATTCCACCGTAACAAACTATAACGTTATGCTAAACAGCAAAAACAACATCGGTGGCTCTTACGATTCTAAAGTTATTTTAAAGCGTTTTAAACTTCATTGGTATGGTTAAAAAAATATGTTATCAAATATCCCCAAATAGTGGTTTTTGTGTAAAGAAATATCGCCTATTTATCTTTGTGTAATGAGAAAGCCCAATTGTTAATTTATAAATTTCCGCAAGTGGTTAAATCTATTGTGGATCTTACAGCGGAACAGTGGAATATGTAAAAAATACTAGTTCAGATGTCAGAAATGAAGATATCATAATTGTTGTATCACTTTTTTTTCAGACAGATTAATTTTATTTATTTTTTTTATAACCGTCGTTGAACAGCTGACCCAATTTTTGGGTTTACGACTACTAATGCTAAACTCAGCAGTCTTGTAATTTTGAACTCAATCCAGAAGATAAAGGAACTCCTGAAACAAGTATTGGAAGAAATGTGTCTTCGTGGAGGACTATTTGGTGGAACTTACCCGCATTTGCGTTACATAGAGAGGAAAACCACGAAAACCTCCCATGGTTTGCCCGATGGCAAGGGGACCGTAAGCCATGATCCGTTTACCACTAAGGATGTTTTACGTCAGCACCGTGGTTGGTGCAATTAAAACATTTTTAACTACGTACTGGTTTCGTTTGAAAGTATTTGCCATCAAATATCTCAAATTAGAAGATGGGTTTTTTTTTGTAATCGCCAATTTAGTTTCACGCTATGAAAAAGCAATAAAAGCATAATTGTTTCTTTGAAAATACTTAACTTCGTTAAATCGATGTGAAGAATTGCTATACTTTAAGAATTGCTTTCAGAAAGACTGTGAAATAATTAAAAATTCTAAAAAAGTTTCTTTGTTATGTAACTAGTGAACTCCAAAAGTTAATATATAAAATAAAATGACGGCTATACAGCATTTCTTTAATGAAACCTTTTCTTAAAATTGTGTAAAAGCCACCTAAATCTTTCATTTGGAATGAAAAATGAAACTTTTTTCGGTCTTATGAGCAAAAAGCTTTAGAATTAGGGTGTATTTTTTTTTCGTTTTTTTAATCTTTTGATTCTTTATCAATCCACTCAAAATCAATTTTTAACAAAGTTGCAAATAAAGCAAAATTAAAAATTTTCATTAGACAAATCTTTGGAAATGGGACATTTGTTGTTATTTAGTGATGCATCGAAGAAAGTAGAACAAAATTTCTATTTAAATATTATGCAGTCATCGAAAAAAGAAAAATCCGGAATAACTTTTGTGATTCATCTTAAATCAACCAAGCAATACATTTAGTCTTTAAAATCGTTGTTGAATGGCAAGGTCAGTGGCTCAAGACGTCCTTTTACTCTCTGTAAATTAATCTATTTCATCTGAAATAGTTCTTTTCTATTTACTATTCGGACCTCACGTGATTGCATCGCATATGCCATAACCTACATTCCTACTAACCTTTCTATTGGCGCGTCTTCGTCATTTAAGTGAATTAGGTCGATATATAAACAAAGATAACTATTTCAACAATGTTTTAGTAATATGTTACACTTATAACATTTAGAAAGCCAAAGGGGGGGGGACACTATTTCTTTTTGTAAAAGTTGGCGGTGTCCATTGGCCGTGCAAACACCAGTGACCCCTTGCATTTTTATTACCTTACAGCGATTAATAATTTAACTCATTTTTATGATCCTTGACCAGACATGCATTTATTATAACATTTATACATTGTACAGATTATACACTATACAGATACATCAATATTGCATTTATTATAAAGCGTAATTATGACGAATTACTATCAAACTAATTATTTATTTTAATGCATCAATATTGCATTTATTATAAAGCATAATTATGAAGAATTACTATGAAATTAATCATTTATTTTCATTAATATTGCATTTATTATAAAGCACAATTACTATGAATTACTATCAAATTAATTATTTATTTTAATACATCAATATTGCATTTACTATTAAGTATAATTATGACGAATTACTATCAAACTAATTATTTATTTTAATACATCAATATTGCATTTACTATAAAGTATAATTATGAAGAATTAATATGAAATTAATCATTTATTTTAATACATTAATATTGCATTTATTATAAAGTATAATTATGATGAATTACTGTCGAATTAATTACTTATTTTAAT